GCGACGGCCTCTTGGGGTCAAATTTGGCAACATTTCTCATCTGCCGATCGGGCAAAACCATTTAAAAAGTATTAATATTTTTTTCTCTTTTTATTTATTTTTTTAAATTTTTTAATTTTTTCCCCATTTGCTGCGGCCTAGCTTCTTGGCCATAAAAACAAGTTGCAATTACGCTCGGCCCGGCGTGCAACCTTCACGCATTCCCCAGATGAGTTGACCCATTCAATGTTAATGATAGAAATTCTATACGGCCAATCAATGCTGTACCGATGCCGAAAAACCGCAGGAAAAACTCTAACTGAGCCAAAGTTCAATTCAAGCATCCAAAAATCCATCGAATCCCATCCAATCCAATCCAATCTAATCAAATCCCCATAATTCGAGCTAAGGTCAGCCGCAGGCCATTCTTTAGAGTCTGTTGTTTAAATAGATTGATTATTTTGTTGCTATTTGTGCTGGCGGATGGCTCTATGCCATTGTTTGTCTTAACAATTTGCATCTTGATTGTGCCGATGTGTATTCGTTTTCTTCTCTTTTTTTTCGTTTTTGTTGTGTTTGAATGCACGCAGAAATAAAGTTAGTTATGAAGATAAAAAATACTTTATACAAGAAGAATTAACACACAGAAGTTGAAGAAAAATATTAGAGAAATAATAATATGTTGACGTCTTTTTATTATTTGTGAGATACATTTATGCTTTAGTTTTAGATTTATTTAAAATAAGTTCAAGTTTGAGTTAAGAAATCTGGTTTAATGTGAAAAATACCATATTTTCAACGATTTTTTAACCAAAGTAAATTGTACGGATAATATTTAATAGTTTTTTTAATAGTATCTCAAAAACAGTTATATAGAATTTATTGAAATCTTAAGAAAATATCTTAAACTATTAAAACCGATGAATAGTAAATGATAAGACAAAATTCCAATATAAAATATTTCAGATAAATATATAGAAATATAAATTATATAGAATTTATTGAAATCTTAAGAAAATATCTTAAACTATTAAAACCGATGAATAGTAAATGATAGTTAAGACAAGATTCCAATATAAAATATTTCAGATAAAATATAAATCAGAACCTTTAATAGATGTTATTACAAACAATTGACAAAAAGTAGTCTTTGAAGTAAATTTATTATATATTTAGTATTCTTAATAAATAAAATATTAAACATTATTCATATTTTTAACTTGGCATAAATCTTCCTCTTTCTCTCTCACCTTTAAACTTCCTCTTTCCAATAAACAAGTTTTAATGTTCTTATGAAACAATCATCATAAACATTAAACCCTCCTTTGAAGGTCAAATCTTTGCAAACTTTCATAAATCAGTTATAATTTTTCGCTCAGTGTATATCTGAAACGCATCGCAATGAAGCGGAAGCTGCTTGAAATCTGCTCAAGCTGTCGACGGGTGCTTCCGTGCTCGGGGCAATCTGATCTTGTTTAAAGTTTCGCCTCTTTCCACTGTTTATATTTTGTGGATTTTTGTCTTATTTTCGATTTGGCTTGAACACCTTTTGATGTTTTTAGTTTTTGTTATTTTTATTTTTTGCCTTAGATTATGGAAATGCGGCAAAATAAAGCATAAGCCACTCGGGCTTGCTGCCTATTGTAGTTGCAAAAGGTTTTTATACATATATATTTCAGATCAGCGAAGGTCGAGCATCGCATAAAACTGTCAATCAGTTTCGAGGGGGCTCACGCTGCGTATTAGTAATGTGCGTTGCCCAGAATCATCTCTGTCCGCCGATGATTAAACCAATTTACCCAGAATTACACAGAGTTTCTTAAGTCATGGAATTGTTTACGCCGATGCCACGGGTTTTTGAACCCCAGCACAAGGTCGTACGCAGGAAGTGCAGTCAGTCAAGAGAAAAAAAATGTATAAACCCGAATTCGCAGGCCCATTCAAGGGCGTCAATGTGCAACAACTGGAAATGTAACAAAAAACATCGACAACCAGCGGATGCAACAATGCGGCAGATGCAAAATGTACAAAAGAGACTGGCAACTGCGGATGTTGCAGATATAAAGAGGCGACATGAGAACATGAAAGACTTCCCTTTTGAGAAGGGAACAACAATGAGGTGTTAATGGGTTTCTTTTTTAAGTTATATAGAAAAATTAGCATACTTTGAATCCATATTTATTCATATTTTTATAAGACAATTTTATGCCACAAATTAAAGTTTCAAAAACTCATAACTATGCCAAAAATGCATTCATTTTGATGCGGAAAGCTTTTCTATGTTAGTTTTTGTAAGGTTAATAAACCTGCATACTTAACATCAAAGTTTTAAAAATTTAAATTTTTGTCAATTTTTGATCATATAAATTTTATAAAAAAAGATCAAAAATATTTGAAAAAAATTTTTGTTTTAAAAAATGTCTAGATCGATTCGGCTGTTCACGCTGATCAAGAATATACATGATTTATGGGCTCGGAAATGACTCCTTCACAGTTTTACTAGCTTCTGACTAAACTTATAATACCATTATTTGTGTAAATATTTATCTATATTTTATATGCAAATTTTCTTAATAAATCAAATTTTAAAAAACTCATAAATAAGCCAAAAATGCATTAATTTCAATTCGGAAACCATTCCTTTGCTAGTTTTTACCAGGGCAATAAAACTGCATACTCAATTTAAAATGTTAAAAAATTAATTTTTTTTGTCCCTTTTTTGTTAAAATTTTTTGTGAAAATAATTGAAAAAATTTTGAAAAAATTTTTTTCATCCGGACATGACTAGATCGACTCGCCTGATGATGCTGATCAAGAATATATATGATTTATAGGGTCGGAAATGACTCCTTCAGTTAATTTTAAGATTCTGATTAAAATTAGAATCCACTGTAGGAGTAAAAATCTTATTTAAAATAGAAAATTGTTAAGAAATAGATTAAAAATATATATAAATTCTAAGAAACCATTTTTTATTTTTTTACTATTATATGTTTAAACTTGTTAATAATTTTATAATTCATTTACTTAACTAATTAATATACAAAATGTTCTTAGCTTTTATCAGCTCAAAATCTAAAGAGGAAATATACATAAATTGTCTGCAAGATAATTTCCTATTCTTTTCTTCTCATTTCTAAGCTTGTTTATAGTTGTTAATTTTATTTATTCAGTTAATTTACTTTTGAAACCCGGCTTCAACCAAAAATGTCACTTCAAATAAAAAACGTAAGCCATAAATTTGTATTTAATAACAGCTCTAACACATAACCGCCACTTAAATGCATCATATTAATTGCCTTAAAAGTCACCTGACTCGAGTCCATTTTAAATATTTCTTTGGAAGCCAAGTTAGGCAACCATAAAACTAATTAAATAACACTCTCGGAGTGTCCGAAATCATGTGACTTTGCTACCTTTGATCTTGTGAAATGAATCATTCGAGGGAATAGGCCTCTGCACTTCCTTAACCATTAAATCCTTGATCTCAAAACTCACCTCCAACTGAAAGTTTCCCATTTATAGTGTTTTTTTTTTGACAACATGAACTTAGCACTCGCCAGCTAAATATGTAATTAATTTGATGTTAGTGTTAATCTGTTGGGCCAACACAATTCACGGCTTTTGCATTTTGGGCCCCAAGGCAACTGGTAGACCATTAATAAGGCTAATTAAAATATGCAAAAAGGCGGGAAGCTGGAACTGGAGCTTGGCCACGCCTCGGAGTGTATCGAATCCGCTTTCAAAATTAGTTTCCCATTAAAGATGGCCATAGCTAAATGGCAAACAAAAGTGCCACCCAAATCATCTTCATGGTCAATTAGCAGACAACAGAAATATGACACAAAACGTAAAAAAAAACTAAGAAAATAAAGGTAACAAAAAGCGAGCACACAACACAAAGTGAGGTTAAACATTTAAGCTATCCAAGAGTCACGGGTTCAAATCCCAGTCAAAATGTCAAGTTGATGATGACAATTAAACAGGATTAGCAAGAGACTTGAACTTGCCCCCTCTCCCTCTCTCTCTCTCTCTCTCTCTCTCTCGAATGACGCATTGCCACACATCTCGCACAAAAGTCGCACTAAATAAATTACATAATCAAGAGTGATCAATTTGCATATTTATGAGCGAAAATAAAAAAGCAAACATAAAAACTAATTTCAGAACAAAACTCAATATAGAGAGAGAGACGTAAAGATCCGGCTGGCACCGACGTGCACGAGCACGAGAAGAAGCGGGGGTGTGGGATGAGCTATGGGTCCTTTCCCCCAAAACGCCGCCAGTTCATTCACATGGCAATTAAAAAAAAACAAAAAATAAAATAAACCAACCGATTTTGTGTAAATGCCAGAAAAGAAGACAAAACCCATCGAACCGCTTTTTTTTTTTTTTGGTATTTTTCTGAAACGCGTGCGTGGGGCAGCCGCGCGGAAGCCAAATCATCAACGCTTTTTAGTGGCATTTCGAAAGGCTTTTCAAGATCAAGGCCTATACAAGAAAAAAAAAAAACTCGAAGAAGACAAAACACTTAACCACAAAAAAAAAAAAAAAAATTGATATATGAAGCATGCCGGAGATGGATGCCAACGTTTTGCTTTGCATAAAATACATTTCGAAATATATTACACAAAAAAAATCTACCAAGCTTGAGTTTCTAGTGCCTGGCACACACAACTACTTAATGGATCGACGGCTATAAAAATTATCAAACTACAGTTTCAAGCTTTAAATAAAAAGTAAATAAATAAGAGAACAAAACACAGAAAAAAAAACCAACAAGAAGATTGAGTCGCACATAAATATTTATAGACAAAAAGTGGTCGTTGTCTAAAGATGTTCTGAGCAACCCATCTCAGAGGCAAGGCAAGCTTTTGTTGCTTTTGCTGTTGTTAAAGCTTCGCTGCAGTCGCCGTCGACGTCGCAGCTTTTTCAAAGCTGCACAGCAGCACAAAGTTGTTGTTGGACGGGCGGCGGCGGCGCGACTATAAAACAGTTTGCTGCTGCCAATTGACTTTTGTTTTCGTTTGCGTCTGGTCTCGTCTGGTTGTCTGATTGGACAATTCGGCGACTACAGAATATCTATAGAAACCGTGTGCAGTGTTGTTAAAAAAAACATAGCAAAGCAAAGGTAAGGCGAGCCGAGCCGCGGCCAAGGATATACAGTGTAACTCTATATATAACTATATATATATATATATATTACTACCGCCACAACTCCTACGTGTGTGGTCAATCGAAGGACTGTGCAAAAAAGAAACACTAAATGTGACAATAAATAAAAGCAAGAGAAATAATTATACAACAATTCAGTGTGCCGTGAGCTGTTCAAGGATATGGATTAATAAACAATTAAATTTGAAATCGTATGGAATCGTTAAAATATATATAAAAAAACCCCATGGCGACCAGAAGCAAAGATAACTTAATTAAAAAGCTGTTTTACGGAGGGTTTTTTAGTAAACGAGTTCGTTGCCTAAGTCTTTCGTTTAGAGAACTTGCCTAGAAAAAAAGTTCGTTGCCTAAGTCTTTCGTTTGAGAACGATCAAAGAAGAGTTCGTTGAATAAGTCTTTCATTTAAGAACCTGCTAAGAAAAGAGTTCGTTGAATAAGTCAAAGAACTAGCTCTGAAAATAGTTCCTACTTTTGTTGAAAATTTTAACAAGAAAAGAGTTCGTTGCCTAAGTCTTTCGTTTATGAACTTCGTTCGAAAGCAGTTCTTTGTTCTAGTTCTTTTATTTGAGAACTCGCAAAGAAAACAGTTTGTTGCCTAAGTATTTAATTTAAAAACTCGCTCTAAAAACAGTTTCTTGACTAACTTTTTAGTTTAAAATTGTACAAAGAAAAAGTTCGTTGCCTAAGTCTTTCGTTTGAGAACGATCAAAGAAAAGAGTTCGTTGAATAAGTCTTTCATTTAAAAACTAATTCTAAAAGTAGTTCCTTCTTTTATTGAAAAGTTTACAAAGAAAAGAGTTTGTTGCCTAAGTCTTTCGCTGGGGAAACTACAAAGTTCCTTCTTTCTATGAAAATTTTTGCAAGAAAACAGTTCGCTCTCTAAGTCAAAGTTCTTTCTCTTTTAACCAAAGATAATACGATTTTCAAGTTTCCCTTTGATTATTTCCATACCAAATGCACATCTTAAAAATATTTATAAAAAAAAGAAACGTAAAAAACCCCACAACAGCTTCCCCACTGAAACGTGATTTGCGCAAGAGCCAAATGCACATGAAATTTTCCATCACCCATAACAGCCGCCACGAAAAGCAAAAGAGGCGATAATGCATAAAGCCTCATACTTTGGGGCCTGTAATTTGGCCAAAACACCAAACACCAAAAGGGCATCTATGAGCATCTATGAGTATAATTAAATGCATCATCAGCTCGACGAGTGGCTCAGCTCCGCTGATTGATTAACATGCATGAAACAAGAAATGGACACAAATTACAAAACGCAACAAATGAACAAACAAAAAGTAACACCAAAAAACAAGAAAACCAAAGATATATTGAAATGCATATTTCCCAAGCGCGAAGCTTCAGTTTGTTTTGGAAATGTCGCTGTCGAAAATGAAATCAATAATAAGCGGGCCACATTTCATTATGTATTGTTACCAAATTCATCTGCTGATAAGCGATGCGTCTTTAATGATTTATAGTTGCCAAATCAAATCAAATACTGGCGATACACAATCCAAATTTCAACTAAAACTGAGGACATTGAGCTCTAAATAGCATTTGCATAAGAAGGAAGAAACATGGCTTAATTAAAATGCTGACTAGCTGGCTACGTGGAAGGTTCTAGCCAAAGAGAGACACACACACGCAGCGTCAGGCGATATTAAAGTCAATAAAACCAGTTAAGGTCAGCTTGACGCTTTATGCTTGTGTAATCAACATGTTTGCTGCAGATGCTAAATATATATATATATTATTTATGAATAATGTGATGTGCCGATCGATGCTGATCACGTTGCCACTGCTGCTGCGCCACAATAAAAAATCGAAAATAATAAAGTTTCAAGTGTCTCTGATGGCGGTAGTAGTTTCTGGTAGCCACTGTGGCACTGTGTCAGTGGCCGCCGCGGGGCAACCGGTTGCTCATCCTTGACATAAAAAGCGATCTCGATCTTGCACGACAGCCAGCTTTACACATCTTTCGGATCGCCGAAGCCAAAGTTGGAAATTTATACACAAAAAATAAAATAAAAATTGCGTATACGCAAAAGGGCGCGGCAAACAAAAGCGTCGGCATCTTTATCGCCCCCGATAATCGTGTACAAATTTATGTTAATGACAACGTGTTAACAATTTGCATATCTCTGTAGTTGTTTCTTGCCAAATTTGTTACTGTTTTCTTACCTGGTTTTCCCCTCCCCCCCCCCCCCCCTCTCTTGCAGATGAAAGTCACTTTGGCGTTAGCGACTTTCTGCGTGGTGGCTGCCTGCGCCAATGCGGCCAGAACCACAACCACCACAGCGACCAAGCCGGGTCGCTTCCTCTCACTGCCCGTGCCCGCCAAGTGCGCCAGCCGTAAGTACATCTATTATATTATATATATATTATATATAGTATACTATATATTAACCCATTCCCATCATTAACCCCTCTGCAGCTCAGTTTGAGTATAAAAAGTAAAAGTGACAAATGCCGCGAGAATATTAAGCGGCTTTTTTTCCGTTTGCCAAGTTTGCACTTGAAATTGTTTGGCAATGCGACGTGTGGGTGTAACCACAATTATTTATATGGAAAGACCAGGCCAGGCGGGGGAGGGGTGTCAGTCGAAGGTCGCTGACGTGAGCTGGAATTTTATAAATACATATAGTTTATGCAGTTTTGTGATCACTTTCTTTGATCGCCTTTTTCGTAAACAGAAATTTTAGTTGCCACAGAGAAAAGCAAACATTTTTTAGGGGGTTCGATAAAGGAAAAGTAATAAAAACTCTTTTGAAACTAATAACCATCAGTCTGAAGTACATTTTAGATGAAAAAATTATCCATTTCCTCTGCTAAAATCAATTAAAATACAAATTATTCATAAAAGACTTAAAAACCTTTTAAATATATCATAGATTGCTCAGTGAATTAATCGTTATAAACTTAGAGTAATGAAAACTTTAAAGTATTCTATGAAGTTTACTAAAACAGATAAACTTTCTTTTAAAATAAAAATCTTTAATCAATTCTCTCATTAAACCCTTTAAAAGTATCTTTCTTTCCCCAGTGTACAGTTCAATCTCATCTCTCAATTAAATATTTATAGTGGTTAATCCATAAGTGATTCACCTGAAAAAAACTCTTAAGTATTTAATAAAGTTTACTAAAAGATCTTCATTTTCATTTTAAAATATAAATCTTTAATCAAACCTCTCCTTAAACTATTAAAAGTACCTTTATATTCCCAGTGTCAATCTCAACTCTTAATTATATATTTAAAGTAGTTTATCCATAAGTGTTTAACCTGAAAAAAAAAATCTCTTAAGTATTGAATGAAGTTTACTAAAAGAGCTACATTTTCTTTTCAAATATAAATCTTTTATCCAATCTATCATAAAACCTTTAATGTAAACTCTATTTCCCCAGTGTATTGTTCAATCTCATCTCTCAATTATATATCTTTAAAGTGGTTAATCCATAAGTGTTTCACCTAAAGTGGGTTTTCCTCAAATCAAGTCAGCAAGTCATCGCCAGAGATTGCAAAACATTGCATCAGTTTGAAGCGTCTGAACAATAGCATCATCGCTGCTGCATATCCGGTACACTAATGAACACTTTGCAGTTATTGCTAATTAGACAAAACCCTACCCAACTCACAACTATACTATATACTATATATAAAATATATATATATATAGAAACTTGCCGTTAAACATGCAACTTAGTTTTTTTGGGGCGTCACCGAGTCGCCTAGCCAGTTTTTCGAGGTGCCGTTGAATGCGATTTAGATCTTTCATCTCTTTGGAAAAATTTCCAGTTATACAAGCGCAGCATTTTTTTTTAGGTCTCTCAAATAGTTAAATCACCTGATTAACAATTCCGACTTAATTACCCGATCTTTTTTATTTTTTCTCTCGATAATTAACATTTCTTTTCTAAGTCAGAAATGATTATTATGCAAGTTTCGGTTAGGAAAATATGTATATTTGTATATTCAAAGATGGCATTTTTTAGCAAAATTTGCCTTGACCCGCGTCACAAAAGGGCCAGAAATGTGAAGAAATTGCCAGAGACAAAAATAAATAATAATGTGCAAACAATGGCAAATAAGGCCATTATGTTGGAAGTTAAGCTGATTTGACGCCTTAGGGGAGTGGCGATTGGTTGCAAAAGTGGGCTTAAAGTGCGGCTAATGACGCGTGCCAGCAGCAGCAGCGGCAGCGGCAGCTGTGGCAACAGGCTTTATTTTTGTTACCTCTTTTTTTTGAAGCTTCACTCAAGTGAAACAAGTTCGAGGATGCTGCAGCAGCGGGGGCTTCCCATTGTTATTCCAAAGTTACAAACAAAAAGGCAGAAAACCTTTTGACACCGCGAAAAAGGAAAGCAAAGAAGCATGCTGCATAAATCGCACAGATTGCGTAACCCGCCGCCGCCTTTGGCATCTTTGGGGGGAAGTTGTGTAAGGCTTGGGGCAAAGTCTTTTATTTTTCTTATATTTTTTTTTTTGCTTTCGGTTTCGTTGATGGGGCAGGCTGCAAGACATTGCACTGCGGACTCTAAATTGAAGATGAGACTGCAGTTGGCTGAGGAAAACCGGTTGGCAAAGACCACACCCACACGGGGAGAAAAATATATCCACAAACTTGACACTAGTTTTTGGGGATAGAAATAAATATTTATAAAAGTATCATAAGGAGGTAAAGGAGCATTAACAAATAGAGGATACTACAAAGAACTATTAGTACAAACTGGACACTATTTTGAAGTATCTTAAAGGATCCCCAGGATACTAAAACAATCTTAGTACACATTACACATTAAATACCTCTCAATATCTCATATTAAAACTATATAAAATCCTTCTAAATTCTCATATTTTCCACTTCATCCTTAACAGGCCCCAAGGAGTTCTCCTATCGCGGCAAAAACATGTTCCTAACCACCCACGTGCCCGCTCTGGCCAACAAGAAGGTCGACTGGCTGGATGGCCGTAACCTGTGCCGCGAATACTGCATGGATCTGGTCGCTCTGGAGACCCAAGAGAAGAACAATCTAATCTTCCGTGTGATCCAGCAGAATGATGTGCCCTATATCTGGACAGCTGGCCGTATCTGTGACTTTGCCGGCTGCGAGAATCGTCCGGATCTGGAGCCCAAGCATGTCTATGGATGGTTCTGGTCTGCAACTCGCGAGAAGATCCAGGCCACCAACCGCATTCCACAGGGATGGGGCTACAACCCCTGGTCTCAGACCGGACACAAGAAGCGCCCGCAGCCGGATAACGCTGAGTATGACATCAACCAGACCAAGGAGCAGTGTCTGTCCGTGCTGAACAATGTGTACAACGATGGCATCGCCTGGCATGACGTGGCCTGCTATCACGAGAAGCCCGTCATCTGCGAGGATAACGAGGAGCTGCTGCGCTATGTGGCTGCCACGAATCCCGGCATCCGTCTATAAGCGGTTCGCGATGTTTGCCTAATTTTAAAGCTACTTATTATAATATTCCTTAAACACACACGAGTTTTTGTATCATTTTTGTTTGTATGATGATGTACGACGTACGAAAACGGAAGAAAGCAAGACAAATAGACTTTAGAATTTACAATTCCCGATCTTACCACCTATGATACTGTCATCATTCCAGCACCCACTATCTATCTATCTATCTTATCTATATATCTCGTTTCGAAACTGCCAATTTTACGCGTAGAATTCCCCATTTCCGTTGTAAACAATTGGGTTGCTTCGCAGAGTCTTCCTTAATTTGAATATTTATGGAGCGAAAACATTTGGAATCTCTTGAGTATTCACCTGTTCTTCCCCACAAAAAAGAGATTGAATAAAACTTTGAAAAAGATCCCATTAAAAACAAAAACAAACAAAAAACACTTAAATTACTTGACTTTGGTTTTTATTAACAATCCCGGTCCCTGGAGTGACTTCTGGAATGTTTATATCCATTTGATCTATGTTGTTCTCTTCTATGTGAATCCGAAGAGCTACGATCTCTTTTGGAGCTAGTTCTGTTGGGGTCTTTATCACGTCTGGACCTAGATCGGTATTCCGAAGTATGATGATTTTTGAGATCTTTACCTTTGCGAGTCTTGGACTCCTTGGAGTGTTCTAGCTGCGGTTCAGGACTTTCGGACCACCGCCAGTTCCGACCATGCTCTGACTGATCATCCCAACTTTAAATAAACGAGTTGAAAGTCATGAAATATAACTAAAAACCTACAAAAGTAATGCCTTTACCTGGGCGTCTTGGCTGTGGGTGTCTGACTAGAGTTCCTTTTACTTTTCGGACCTGTTGTGTACTCCAGTTCCGTGTTGAACAGGTTGTCCTTGTTCCGAAACAAATGCAAATAGCCGCACTGGTTACCTTTGGGACATATACGTGTTAAGGACAAACCTTTAAAAAGCAACAAATTGTGATAAAGAAAATGGATTTTATGGGTTATTTTGAGATTTATAATTTGTGTTTTGTTTGTTGTTGTCAAAGGATACGGTTCTTCTGGGCATACAGTTCACGTACCGCAAACTGCGCCACGCCAGGTCTTCAGGTTGGAGAACTCCACATTGAGGCGCTTGCAGGCGTAGTAGCGACCCTGGAGATTGGTAAAGGCGCGGAGAGCAGATCTAGAAAGGAAAAGGTGTCAAAAAAATTAAAAAGGCATGAATGTTTACAAAAATAAGCACATAAACTTAAAAAAAAAAGAGTTAATAAAGAAAATAAAAGAGATATTGAAAACTTGTCCTAATTTAAAGGTAAAGCAACCATAAAACAATGCTAACTAATTAAGAAATTACCAAAACTCACAGATATTTAAGCTGTCCAAGCCCTCGTTAAGTTTAAAATATAAAAAAAGAAGCTATTTGCATACAAGTTAACTCTTTTCTACATGCAAATACTGGGATTTTGTCGTGACAAAGTTACAAAATTTGCATAAAAACAATTGGAATTAAGTATTTCTTAAAGACATGTGTATAAATAAATTCCCAGACAAATATTACTTATAGAAACAAATTATAAATAGACTCTCAGACATCTATCATCTTAAATAATTATAAACAAACCGTTCGTCAGTGTATTCCACAAAAACATGACCCCTCAGGTGCTCCAGCGTATTTCTCACAGTTCGAAAGTTTACAATGGTGCCAAATTTCTGCAGCTCCTCGACAGCATCAGCAAAGAACACGTCGTAGTCATCGCGCATGTCCATCTCTGTCAACTCCAGACCCTCGTCTGCCCCGGAGTATTCGTTGGGCTTTGTGCGTTGCTCCTGCAGCAGAGAATGGCTGAAGAAATGACGGATCAGGAGGATCCGGGACAGCATGGGACGTCGGTGGTTGAAGGTGCAGCTGTGGCCGTAGCGACAGCAGTTGGTGCGGTTGAAGAACTCGCAGGGACGCTCCTCGGGATGGGTTTCCATCACCCGAAGGAGATGCTGTGGAGGTTTCTCAATTTCAGGATCGTTGAGATACTCTGCCATGCTCTGCATCATGGCCTCGAATTCGGCGGCAGCCTTGGCTGTTCTCTGGAGGTGCTCTTCGCGCTGCTTCCTCGCAGATTCTTCTCGTTTTGCACGCTCCTCGGCCTGCTCCCGCTGCAGGCGCTCAACTTCCTCTTGTTTTTGCCGCCGCTTGGCCTCATCGATGCGAAATTGTTGCTGGGCGATGGCCTCGCGTTGCATCCAGGCCTTCTCGGCCTCCTGGTGCTCCCTCTCAGCGGCCTGGCGCTGGAATTCCTCTAGTTTCTCCTGGCGCATCAGGCATTCCTGGTAATCGGGATCTGTGAGTCTTAGGTTCTCTGCCTCTAGCTCTTGTTTATCGCGTTCTTTGGCTGCCTTTTGGCGGCGTCGCTGTCGCTGCTTCTTTTTGATTAACTTTCGTCTAACTCTGGACATTTTGAAATTAGATAATGCAATGAAAATAACATTTATTTACCTTTTTCCCGGCATTTTAACAAAAACAATGGGTCAGTGTGACCGTGCAGCTAAAGAGGAATAATAACGACGGAAACTAGGTATATTAATACTTTTATACTAGATTATATTGAAAGAATACCATATTTATGGTTATATTTCCTACTTTTCGGCAGCTGGTCATACTTAGTACGCTGACACATGTAAAAGTTGAATTTATTAAGTATAAGTAAAAACGCGCGAATTCGGAGTGAATTTTTAGATACAGGTGGCTCTGCCAGCATTCGTGGTTCGTTTTGTGAACACTGCTCATTCCGTTTGGACTTTTCTATTTCACTTTAATCAAATCAAAGTGTTTTGCGAAGCACGAGCTTGTTTTTCCTTTTTTTTGTTATTGCCGGCCTTATCCCGTTATATCTGTTGTTTACATCTATTAACTGTGAACTTACATTCGTGCTTAACGTCTCTCAAAAACACCAGAGGCTTAAATTTAGTTAATGATAAAAAGTAAGAGAACCCTAACATTTTTAATATTAATTCTCATCATTTTTAAAGTGAATACATAAGAATAATTACATATTTTAAAGATTTAACATATTTTGTCCCGTAAAAGCTTTTTTGTCAATATATTTCTGTTAACTTTTTTAAAATAACATAAACTGAATTTTAATACTACTTTTAATTTCTGTTATACTTCTGTAAAGTTTATTCGTCAAACTTTGCCTCTTGCAATTCAACTCTGACTGTAATAATTATAAAAGTTTAAATTAACCAAGCTAGAATTTTATAATTTCCATTAGTTATACATTTGTATGACACCAAGTTTGCGGCCACTGCCATAATATATAAAAGTGAAAAGTTACTCTCCTGAACTTTTCACCACGATTTGAGGGGAAATTCGAGCTTTATTGCTGCAACATTCGAACAATGAAACCAAGCTTTGTTGCTGCAACACCTAGAAATTAAACCTACCCCCTCAAAGCGGAGGCTTCGAGAAATGTTGCTCGGGTCGAAGACGCGAAAAAAAAATCAAATTCAGTGATAAAGTGAAATTCGTGCGCGTTGGTTCAATTTTCACATTGTATATACACTTCGTGTGTGTCTCGCTCTCCCGCTCTTCTCTCCGGCCAAGCTCCGGTCGTGAATTCTGCGTGTGCTCTTCGGATCGGAATCCGAATCCGTGGACTCCATTGCCGGATCGCTTTTTGGTGCGTGTGTGTGTGTGTGCGTGGGTGTGAGTGTTTGAGAGCAGCAAAAACAACAACAAACCGTAGCTTAAACTGCAAAAACTAAGCCAAAAAACAATTCTCGTGGCACAATTTGATATTTAGATAAATTAAATAATTTTAGCCGGCGGCAACTAACCGTGTGCGTGGTGTGCGTGTGAGTGCTATCATCCTCTCACTGGAATTGCCATAAAATATACATTCGTATAATAAGTAGTAATAATAACAATTAAAATAGTGAATTTCAATAATCCGGAAATGGCCATCGGAATGCGACGACTAATTGGATTTATGCTGAATTTGGCAGCACTAACAGGTGAGTGACTCCTAAAACTGATGAGCTGCACAGGGGGAAAAATAGTGTATAAAATGTGGCAATTTTGAATCAGAAAAATATATGGTATTCCCTTTTTATGGGTATTTTAATCAATATTTTATAAGACAATTTTTTCCACATATCAAAATTTAAAAAAACTCATAACTAAGCCAAATATTCATTAATTTCAATTCGAAAAGCTGTTTTATGTTAGTTTTTATTGGGGTCATAAATCTGTGTAAAAAAACATAACATTTTAAAAATTTCAAATTTTTTATTAATTTTTCCACAATTTTAATCTATTCAAAATTTGGGAAAAATTAAAAAAAAAATGTTATTTGTTTAAAATGGCTAGATCGACTCGGCTGTTGATGCTGATCAAGTATATATATGATTTATGGGGTCGGAAATGAGTCCTTCACTTCTTTACAAGCTTACGACTAAATTATAATACCATTTGAGACGATATGTATTTATATTTTATATGACAATTTTGTCTATAAATCAAATTTAAAAAAATGCATAACTAAGCCAAAAAAGCTTTAATTTTAATACGAAAAGCTTTTCCATGTTAGTTTTTATCCGGTTTATAAATCTGCGTACTCAATTTAAATTTAAAAAAATCACAATTTTGATATATTTTTTTTTGGGCAATTTTAAACCCATAAAAAAATTTTGAATATTAAAAAAATTATTTCTCAAACATAGCTAGATCGACTCGGCTTTTGACGCTGATCAAATATATATATGATTTATGGGGTTGGAAATGACTCCTTCACATTGTTATGAGCTTTTGACTAAAATGATAATACCTTTGCAAGGGTATAAATACAAGAGAATGATTTATGTCCTGTTGTCCGAGCGTAGTTGTATTTATTTTATAATAATAATATAATATTTATAATATTATAATATTTAAGAATCTCTATGCCTTTATTTTATGTATTTAATAATCCCTTTGCTTTGAATTCTCTTTATCAATTGAACTCTATATTGTTCAGCGCTGACCATACATAAAAATACAAATCTTATACAAAATATATATATTATATATATATATATATTTATAATCAATTAACATTGATGTTTTTCCAGTTCTATGAAGCTTTCTCTCATTTGACTGTAACTTATTTTGTTAAGTGAAAATTTTAATAAGTTATTATGTAGTATTTAGATAACCTTGACAGAAAAGATTTATTTAACTGATATTCACAGAGATAGAAGAGTTAAATTTGGAGGAATTAAATTCAAGAGACTTGCTATTAAAGATATCAAATGCTCGTGTGATAAGCTGAATATGATAAGACTTATAATAAGAATTAAGTTTGATAAGTTTGGTAAGCTATTTAAGATTTGTCCCATAAATATATCAAGATTTTTAGACGCTATCCCTAATCGCAATCATAGACTTGCTCTAAGGTTTTATATTTGTTTAAGTTTTTATTATGAACTTATTTATTTGAGAAAAGAGTAAATTAAATTATATATACAAATAAAGTATATAAATATTTATACTTAACAGAAACAAACATAAATAGCTTCAGAGATATTATTCATTTTATTTTATATATTCTCAAAATATATTCATTACTGAGAATGTTATGTATACCAGATAGCAGATGCAATGATTTACTTTTAAAATATACATCTTAAAGTGATTTCTTGTATAAAGGAATATCTATTTTAACGTTACATGCTTAATTTACTATATTTTAAATTAGCATTGACCCCTTTTTAGATTTCAGTGTGACATAAGAGTGGTGCCACCTCCAAGGGCTACCTACTATGTAGGTGCAGGGGCACTTGGCGCTCTTCCCCAGTTACGTTCTACGTTTTATTTTCGGTCTCATGGACAACCACCGAGAAACGCTACCGATACTGTCACCGTCACCGTTTATTATGTTCTTGGTCTGGACAGTTACGAGTTACGAGTTGTTTTTAGTTCGAATTCATAATGGGCTTGTTTTGTGGTCTTCCAGAAGGGAGGCCCAGGTCAGGTGTCAGTCTTCTTCCTCTCCTTATGTCGTTACGTATTTATCAATATTTGCTTTTGGTATTTAGTTTTCTGGCTCAAGTGTTTCGTGGCTAATAGAAAATCGATGGCACATTGTTGCACATTTTGCGGGGCCATTATGAAAGCAATATTCTTTTGGCTGAAAGTATCTGAGAGATACAAGAGTGTATCTCAAAGAGATAGTAGCTGGATGTCAGTCAACGATGTTTGCTCTCAGTCTTTCGATCAATTTGCGTTGCCTAAAAGCCATCTAAGGGGGGGTGTTAAGCCGCTCTCGAATGGCATTTCATCCATTGGACAACTGCCACTTGCCTCCGGAGACCTCTGATGCCTGTGATGCCTCTGATTCCACTGATTCTCCATGGGCCTCTGTCTCTGGACTGGCACTTCAATCTGCATGCTCCACATTTATGTGGCACTGCGTTTTTGGCCTCCACTTTCTTTGATTTCATCCCAGGCTTCACTTCACACTTTACAGCGCAGGCCATGTCCTCGTCCTCGTCCTTGTTTTTGTTCTCTTTTGCCGCGCTGGTCCTTGCAAATATTTAATTTAAGCCTGGTGACAACACTCTCGAAAGGGTATCTACCATTTGTGATGGAGTTGGTAACGGTCATATTTATATTTAAAAAAATATACCCTAGGATATATCTTTTGGTTTCCTTTAAATATTATAGATAAATACATGTAGAACTTTCCCAAAAGTTCTGTTAAATCCTGCTTAAATGCTTCACAAATAATTAAGAATAAATCACTTAACTTCTGATGAGCTCATTTAATTAATCTCCCAAAGCTAAAGGACTCTGCTCCGAAAGGATACAAAAAAGCGCTGCATCTGCAGTTGCTTTTATCCTTTTGCCCAACAGCAAACGTCCTTTTTGCACCCTTCTCCCGTTTATTTCTGTTGCTGTGTCCCACTTGCGGTTTTGTTTAATTACGCATATTACTCCGCCTTTCCCTTGCCCAATCCCAGTCCCATTCCCAATCCCAGCTCCCAGCTTCTGGTTCCTGTTTCTGGTGCTGTTGCTGTGGTCACTTACTGACGAGGACGAGTGTCTTTGGTTTGGATCTCTTGAGGCTTGTCAACGGCAGGGAGCATAGCGTTTCCGGAGTGGTATTGCGGATGGGGTCGAATTGCTCTGCGGTTGTCAACCATTTCCTCTGGGGCACAACGCTCCGATGGGGTTGTGTGAAGCTGACCAACTGGCTTAGAAAGGGTGACACAAGACAGACAGGCTCTGGTGCTGCTGCTGAAGCCAAATCCGACTGGTTAATTACTTTGCCGGCAGATAAGTGCTGCCTCTTATTTATCATATTTACTCTGTGAATTCAGCAAATTAAAATCAATATAAAGCCAGCAGCAGCAGAGGCATTCATTAAATATACAAGCGGCTTTTGGATGCTTTTGCTGCTGCTGCTGCTGCTGCTGCTAATGAGGCAAAGTGTCGCCAGCAACGCCCTCAGCGCAAAAAGTGTCCCATTACTTTCGTCCGGCACTGTGCGCCGCCGGCCTTTTAATTGAGGGAAAGGTCAGCGTTGCATCGATTTTAATGCAACACAAAAGGGAAAATAAACAGGGGGACCAGTAGAGTTACTCTGGGAACAGGGTTTGCATTTTGTAGATACATTTTATTATTTGTATTAGAATTTATTTCTAGAGAGAAATGAGTTAGAGTTATATATAAAATGTGAGGCTTTAAGGGTCGTTTTTATTATATTTTAGGCTTACTTTTATTTTATTAGATAATTCTTTTAAACAAATTTTAGGCGTTAAAGAGTGATTTTTATTAGGAAAATTTATTTAAAAAACTTCTTCTACATACTTAAAAATAAATAATTGAGTACCATAAAATAAACACAACTTTACAAGCCTCAAAAATGCCTTTTAACTTTAAAGTATATGTGTTTTCTGAAGTAAAAATCGTATAGTTTATAAGCACTGCTTTTAGGTATAGCCACAATATTTATTAAAGAATAAAATATACTTTATAATTCTTAAAAGTAATACAAAATCTATAAGAAGATCACTAGCAATCAAAAATCCCTCTTAATATTAAAGTATATGTTTTTTTCCGAAGTAAAAATCTTATGTTTATAAGCATTGCTTTTAGGTACAGAACAATATTTATTAAAGAATAAAATATAATTTATAATTCTTAAAAATAATACAACATCTATAAAAAGATTACTAGCAAATAAAAGAATTGGAAACTCTCATAATAGATTTGAATGCTTAAAATCCTTTAAATAATACAAAAGTATTTCCAAATTTAGAATAAATATTTATTCTATAGAGTTCTCATTTTATACAAGCTTTTTCTTGTTCAAATTGATTGTTTTCTGTTGATTTTTACGAAATAAACTCTCCCTAAATCCTGAAAAATAAATAAAAATTTGGCAAACAAATCACAAAATGTTCCAGTGTGCCATTTTAGTGAGGAAGGAGGTGCGTTTGTTGTAGGCGGGAGATATATGTACGTATGTTTGTAGCATGCCCACGCATAGTTCGGGGCTGCTGGCGATTCAATTTAGTTTTGCCACTTAACCCCAGAGTGCCCCACGCGGTGGCGGGGCCTAGCTGTGCCACCTTTGGCTTTCGGCCGGAGGGCGAGGGGCGGGAAGGGCGGACAGTGCAGCGGCATGATAAATTGCCACTTGACTTTGCATATTTGCGCTGTCAACGGGTCGTGAAAAGAAGGGTGATGATGATAAGGGAGATGGAGTTACGGGGGAAAGAGATAGGTACAGTGACTTTACACAACAATATTTTGTTTATATAATATTCATATAAATTTTTATAAATATTGATAAGGGTAATGGACAAGTACTTTGTGAAATGGAGTTTTTAAGGGAATTTTAGGAGGTGTTTAATATCAAGTTGTTTTTTTAAACCAAGGATTTGAAAATGTTAGGTTTTATTGAAAAACTAATAATAACCTTTAAAAAGTGTGTTTAATAAATTAAAGAAGAAATTTCAATTGTCTTTTC